AAAAAATTACTAATTGTGTTAATTATATTAAATAAAGACATGGGAAATATAATATGAATAGTGGCTCTACTTCAAATATAAAAATAAAATTGGTGTTAATGTATATAAACCATCAATGATGTTGGGCAGTAATAGTGAACATATTGTGTGTACTGTATATATTTAAATCAATTTAATATATCTACATTTGTAATTTCTTAATCTGTGACCCGTTGACCCGACGGGTCGGGTCGGGTCAACTGTTTAAAAGTTCGAGTCGGGTCGGGTTGAACCACTGACCCGACCCGACCCGACTCGTTCGGAGCTCTAGCTTTTCCCCCTATCTCATTTGGTTATAAAGTTTTTCTATTAGCAATCATTTTTCAATTTCTTTTGAATATATAAAAAAAATTTGTTTTTGTTTAGCAAGAAAAAAACTCTCTGTAATCTAAAAGCTTAATATATTTACTATAGTTTCCCTTAGTTTCATGTCTGTATCTCTTTATTTTTAGGCTCTGATACAATTTTTATTTATGTAGTTTTTATATTTTTTAAAAAAAAAGTTTGTTATTGATCGGCATTATGTTACATCACCTAATTTTGATTTAATTAGGGCATCTTACACCCCATTGTATTATAATTAATTCATTAATTACAAATTACATATTTACAGTAATTAGCTAATTACCATCTCATGTATAATTATTATGATTTATTTGAACTTGGTTTAGAAGAATATGATGATTATGAAAACATTTAAGAAATTATTCATAATTTAAAGAACTTTTTGAAAAATCCAAAAAGTTGTACTTTTTGTATTTTTGAAAGGCAAAAATAGAGGTTGGAATCAACTAAATAGTCAACTATTTTAATTGACTAACCTTTTTTTTGAACAACTAATAGTCAACTGTTTTAATCAATTATTTAGTCAACTATTTTAGTCAACTACTAATACTGCTAATACTAATACTAATACTATGCTAATATTATTATTGTCTGACCAATTACAATTTTTGTGTTTTATCATTCAAAATGGAAAATTTCTATGCAGAAGAGTATCAATGCAATCAGTATGATGATGACAACAATAGTGGTGGTGTTGTTGATGATAATTTTACATGTGAACAAATAAACACTTCTGATACAAGGTCCATTAGTTCATTGGCTTCAAGTTCTGATAATTTAAGCAGTGGTTCCAGAAGACCTTTAAAAAAATAAATCATAACACATGATTTTGCATGGATGTATTTTGAAAACGTGAAAGATTCAAATGGAAATGAATTTCATAATTTGCAAATTAAAAAAAAAAAGAAAACAAAATATTATTATAAAAAAAAAATTCTTAGTTGACTAATTAGTTGATTAAAGAAATTTTGACCAACAAGTAGCCAACTAAGGATTTTTTTGGACGATTCCAATCTCTAGACAAAAAGATATTAGAACTTGCTTTGAAAAAATTGGATTTAAAAAATTCTTTCAAAGATATTTTCAAATTATTAATTTAGCTAATAAAGAATTAGATTTATTTTTGAAAGCACAACTTTTAGCAATAGGAATAGAAAACAAAAATAGTAAAGAGCCCTCTAAAAATACTCCTCAGAGAATAAATTATAAATTTGTTTTAATTCAGCATATTCTCTTTGTAAAACAGCATTTTTAATGTTATACAATATAAGTGACCATAGGTTTAAAAATATTGTAGAACACTTACATAAATGAACAAAAGTTATGCAAAACAAAGAGAGCTCCTATATATAAAACTAAAGTCAATATTGATGAAAATTTAAAATCCATCATAAGAAATTTTTTAAATCAATATTCTTTAATACATGGGTTACCTTCACCAATGAGTCATAGGAATGATTCTGGAGCATTTATTTATCTTCCTACTGATAAAAAAATTTAGATCTTTATAAAGAATTTAAAATTTATTTAGAAAAGTTGAATCAGAAAATGATTTAGAAGAAAAAAATTATTTCTTACAATTCTTTTAGAAGATTATGGAATGAACTAATGCCTAATTTGAAATTTCAACCTCCTGCAAGTGCCAAATGTTTCAAAAATGACATTTTTAATTTTTAATCACGTGACTTTACACAAATGCATTCATCAATCTCTTCTATGGTGCGCGAAGTCTATAACCACCGTTTACTGTGCCACACTGCCTATACCTGTCAATCCATTTCTATAAGCATCCATAAATCTCCAAGACCTGCAAGCAAACTTTTGAATTTTTTCAAGA